ACATCCTCTGATGAAATGTTTCCCCTTAGTAATATACAGCATGAGTAGCACTGAGAAAACTACTATGATGAACAAAATGTAATATAGTGACACTGACCTGCCACGCTGTCCAGTGTGTGTCTGTGTTCTCCGGGGGCCAGCCCAACAAACACCACCTCTTTCCTGAAGTGACCGATCCCTGAGAAGGGCAGCACCAGGTCCCGCCCACCCAGTAGCTCAGCCAATGACGGCTCGAACTGAGCCAGCACTGTTGCCGCCCTATAAGGAAATATACACATGAATTTACACACACAACACAACACACACACCAATTCACAACTTAATCCTCTCTCTCCCTCCCTCTCATATTACATAACGAGTGAATCTAGTGATTACTAATGACACAATCTTCTGCGTGATGCAGATTAAGCATCAGTATCGCCACATAAACATGGCCGACACGTTCCAGAGCTGCATTGAGTTGTGTTTTTAAACCCTGGTCATGAAATGTTAGGACGACAACTTCACAATATGAAATGTACTTTTTATTTTTAACCACATATTCAACGTGGGAATTAGTTTTTCACAGTTCTTCTAGTTTACCTAAAATACTAGAAATTGGTCGCATTTTTCCTCAATGGAGACACTACTTTGGTTAGTACTTTCTGTCTTTATACGGGCGATAACGTTAAAAATATACGCAAAAAAAATATTCTTAAAATCCTACTTCTCACATTTTTAAGACCTTTTAAAGGCTGATTTAAGACATTTTAATAACAATTAAGGCTGTATTTTTGGATTAATAAATCCAATGCCTTTTGCAATTATCCCATCTCAGACCTCTTATCTTTCCTTAATTTAAGAAATCCTAACTAGAACTGTAAATTTGATTCTTTAATCGCTACTCGTCCGGTCATGCCTGTATCTAATTAGAATGTACCGGTCGTTCATAAAATCAACGGCTCTCACTTGTCACTGTGAGGAGTCTGAGCACTAAACATATCGATGGAGGAGAGGAAACCTTTTTAGTTTAGTATATACATAATATATATAATAATTTAAAGCAGTTTGAAGTAGCCTTTCAATCATTTTGTGTGTTTGTATTGTTCCCCATCTTCACTGTCATTGACATACAGACCTAACAACAGTGCTGCCGCCATTTTTGGCAGTTATTTTGAATTTAGAAAAGTCTCTATGTCGCCCTAATTTAGGATTCCTAAATTGAGATGTCATCATAAACATCATAAGATAGGATTTCAGATTTTCTGTAATGAGGTCTGTGTCAGTAATCATATGCATGCGTGTGTACATAAAGAGGGCGACAAATCAACAATGCAATATATACGGTGGTCTACAATCACATGTATTGATACACTAGCATACACTAGTATTGGATTGCATTTTGTTTGACTATCTGAACTTTGAACCGTTTGGTTTTCTGACAGCTCAGACTTCACCAGTTAATGGACTGTTTAACATTCAAGTAACGACACGTGTTCATGTTGATGTGCTTGTGAATTTATGGCTCCAATTATAAGCAATTTGGTGCGCACCACTCTTCATAATGTAGGATTTCTGCAAATTACAGGATACATTAGACAGCTCAATATACTGTGTGTATGCTGGGTTTGTTTGTATGTTTGTGTTCATGTGTGTGCGTCCACTTACAGGTCTACTTGCTCCTGACTGGCGAGATGTGTGACTAACAGCGTGATGTGGAGAGTTGGGACGGGGAGCATGGCTTTGGCCAATCGGGGCTCCTGCTGAAGCACCGCCTCCTGGACCTCGCTCACAGCTGAACTGATCTGTCGTTGGATACATTTAATTAGCAGCAGCCGGCAGACGCTGTCACACACATGAACTGGCTGTTCTCTGTCTCTAGTCCTACCCCTCCACTCCTCTTAGTATGGACGGAGGGGAAGACTGAACGGAGGAGAAACTGGAGCAACTTCTGCCGTTCAACATCACAGATGAGGCGTCAATAGATGAGGACCATCAATGTTCATTCAGAGGAGCTTTTGAGTCAGTAAGCATTCAAATTTCAGAGTCATCATCTGTCAGGTAATTGACCTGAATTCAGAGTTTTTATCCATTATAGATCGAGCTACACTGACCATGACCAAGTGTCAGACACTAAATTCATCAAAGACAGATGGAGAGAACAGATCATTTAAAGGGTTTCTGGTTCTCTTATCTCCTCTAGTATAGTTTAGCAACCCACACGGATGTTTTTCGTGAAGGACGACACCAGCGTCTTTGTATGTTTTGGTCAATTTACTACAAATCTTTAGCAAATTACTGCCGACTGTCCAAATCATACCTTTACACTTTGAATGCTGTTTTTACAACCTCCCATGCATCCACACATTTCCATTTATTCTAGCAGTGTGGAGATAAACATGAAAGACTTGAAACATGCTTATGATACAGATAATCCATCACAATGATTATGGAAGCACATATTTTTTGTAAAGTCTTTTGAGCAGGTGGTTGAGTTGCAACCATGAATGATATTGGGAATTTGGAAGCTACTTATTAGAAGTGAGAGAATCACGCGATTTATAATTAGGCTGATCAACTGTAAATGAACTGGCAAAGCTTAGATATAGAGAAGTATCTGCAGTTTTGTAACAAACAGGACACAATGTGCACAAACTTCAGCATGATCCTTAAAGTACAGCAAAGTGAAGAGACCAGTAATTCATCACCTGTGTGTTGGTGATGGGGATGGAGACAAAGTAGTTGGGTCGTTGGCTCTCTTTCTCTTTCTTTTTCTTCTTCTCTGCATCCTCTTCGCTGTCCACTCGCCCTCCATTGTCTCCTCTCTTCCTCTTCCTCTCTTTCTGGGTCGACTCTGAGTTGGAAACTAGACAACAAGGGGTGAGCCAACTTTATATTTAAAAAAGGAAAAGTGAATTCTGGAGTTCATCAAAACATATTAAGAACGTACATACATGCAAGCTCTTTCCATGTAGTGGGGCTGGTCACAGAAAACGGAAGCTCTGACATTAACGTATCCAAAGTATCAGCCGACTTGAGCTGTTTCTTCTTCAATTTCTGCCTCGCCCTCTTTATCTTCCTCCTCATCTGCCTCTCGCTTGATCCTGCTTGAGAGATAAATTACAATATAACAAACACACATATTGTATATGTATGAACATGAATAGGAGAGCACTCACACACATGGGGTGCATGGGCATGGTTCAGGAACACAGTATACTTGTCCCATGTGGCTTTTTCCTTAAGATATTGATTAGGCGCACCAAAAAGACAACTATACACTCAGTGTGCTTCACCAAAGCTTTTGGAAATGGTTCACAACAAGATGAAGCAATATCTTATACACTTTAAGTGATTTAATTGGATAAAAAAGGGAAACAAATGTCATGACGTGACTGATGGAGGGATCATTTCTCTTTTGAATTGAGAACCACTAACAAAAATAATAATTGCATCTAATGAAGCAATTATGAACAGGAGTACTAAAGTTTTAATAATAGCACACAGTCTTCTTGGACTTTAATTGCACACAAATTGTTATAATCAGGAAGGTGTTGTAGAGCTTCTTAACAGGCTTCTATACGTTTTACAAACCACCAAATGTCATCGTACTTTCAAATATTTTTCCAGCACAATTAGACTCCATCCGCCCATCACTAGTGTAACCTCCATCCATCCATCCATCCCTCCGGTACAAAGTGCCACTGTGTAAGTTGTTTCCCCCCCCGAGCGTACCCAAGTCAAATAGTTTAAACAGGTGCTGAATTAAATTTTGGCAAACCCCCGGCAGTTGTACTCACCCGGCTCTGTGGAGGCGCTGGTGTCTTGAGGGACCTTCATGGTGACTGCATCCACCTGACCTGGACTCATCTTTTTCCGCTCCTTATCTTCTGTCCCAGTCTCCTCTCTAATCAGAGCTTCTTCACAACCACCACCACCCTCCTCACCATCACCTGAGGCAGGTATGGTCTCTTTGCCATAGGAGACACTGGCTAGCTGCATGTCACACACTGTTCGCCGATACAGACAGGACTAAAACAAAGAGGAACGACCATCAACCATCATCATATTGCACTGTTTCTTTCTTTTAAAGACTTTCATTTAATTACCTTTAGTCGGAGCACGTGTGCAGATAGCTTCAGCGCGGTGACGTTACAACAGTGACTGGTGGATGTGGGATGCAGCCTCCGGAGTGGGAGTTCATTGACAGCAAAGCAACTCTGTAAACGAACGATTTTCGAACGCGTCGATCTAATAATCGGTCTCAACAGAACGCGACCGATGAGCATGACACACAACGAAGTGGGACAAACTTTAGCTAACAGCTGGCTAGTTGCAGAGACATAACAAGCTAACTTAACTACAGCTAACCTGGCTGCAAAACAGATATAAGTAACCTAAAACTCTCTTCGGGATAGTTACCGATGAGAAGCTTCTAAGTACAGACATTATTTGCCTCCCTGTAGCTAACAGCTGTTCAAAGTAATCACACAGCCATGCAGTGAGTTATCTGTTGAGCTAGCTAACAGTTAGCTAACTGGTGTGCACCAAATTAGCTTCACTAACCGGAATATCATTTTTGGTAACTTGTCATTGCGTTGTTGGTGCAGAACGCTCGTTGGTGGCAGTCTGTCAGAAATATTCCTCGAAATAAATAACGGAAAATAACACAATACGCTCTAACTTGGAATGCCGACTGGAAGCAGTTTGTAAACAATGTCCAACTTCCGGCCTGGTTTTTCAGAGGAAAATAGCTTTCTCTTTCCAGAATAAAAGCATCGGGCGCTTGACCTAGCAGATGAAGCTGGTTCTGTCCACGTGTAACCTCTGTGAGATGTCTCCTGGCTAAACTAATCTCATGGTGCTGGTCAGGCTTGTGGTAACAGCAGGTTTATTCCACACCTGCATATATGACAAAGGACAACAGTTCATCAGTTCATCACTTGTGGACAACAGCGCATGCTCTACTAATGAATCCTCCGTTGCGTTCCGGATTACCCATTTTGAAATACACTAACACAGTGGTATAATGATACAGTGATCGTATAGTGGGTTTAATTTCATGTAAATAAAATAGCCGAAATAGAACAGAAATTGAGGAGAAATATAAAAAAATATATAACCAAAAATATATTTACACAGATTTCTCACACTGGACTGTTACCTTTTTTTAAAAGTATTTTTCATTTTATAATAACAATTGTGTAAATGAATAAACATGTAGACTATAGAAAATACTCCATCTGCATGTTTAAAATAGTATCACACTCTATAGAACAACATACTGTAACATACCTGCATATATGACAAAGGCCAACAGCGCATGCTCTGTTCAGAAAGACGGCATCACGTTAATGTTAGCTAGCTATACCGGAGACATTTTTACTGGCAATGAAACACATAAAAAACGTATAATTAACTTAATGAAAACATGACGAATATAATCTAAGACAAATAATATACAACAAAATAAAGCCAGCTCAACTCTTATGTACTTTTAAAGTTAGTTAACATTATATTGTCCACGGACCCGTAGTAATGAATCCTCCGCTCCGTTGCGTTCAGGATTACCCATAGTCCTTTGCGTCTACTATTCAGTGCAGGTACAAATTTACAACAGCAGGTGGCGTAGTTTTCCCATTTAGCGGGATTGAACCTGAACCTTTTCAACTACATTACACACGCAGGTCCAGACGGTGCTCACCAGTTCTACCAGTGGACCACAGGCGTTTTTTACGGCCACAAGTTCCGCTTCAAACACTTTAAAGGAGAGTAAACGGTGTTTTTGACTGTCTTTGGTGGATTGTCTCCAAGTGTCCTACGGAGCTAATGAAGTTAGCATGCTAGCAGCAAGTAAACGGACCCGAAGTAACCTAGCAACAGAGTGCAGCTCAGAGTGAGCGAACCGTTTTTAACGGTTAGTTTGTCTGGAGGAGAAGTTTCTGTGGGTTAGTGAAGATGTCTAAAGTCCAAATGCTGAGATGTTTAGTCAACCAGCGACTAACTGCGGCTGCTGAGGAGATCTTTGGTCTGTTTGAAAGAACCATAGCGGAGTACAAGGAGGAACTTTCTCGTTCAAAAGAGGAGAACGAGCGACAACAGAGGCAACTGCGCGCTGTTTTCATCCCTCAGCTCCGGTTACACAGACCTGGTTGGTTCACTGTTTATTCTCTCAGCTTCTTTATGACAGAAAATATTTACAATTTGTTCTCTTTGAAAACACCACGTGGATTTTGCAGCTTGTTGAATTCTAAAATGATTCATATGTTCATGGTCACATAAGAGTTTATTGAACATTATATTATCTGGGTCCATTGCTACAATGGAAAGGGGGTGCAGCGTATGGTGGTGAAGGTTTGAATGGGAGCACTGACTATAACGTCCAGCTGTTATCACAACACCAACATACAAAATCATCACAGAAAACTGCTCCCTAAAATATAACAGTTTATATGAACAATACTGATCATAAATCAATAACATACATCAAACAATTACAATCATACTTCCTAAAAGCAACAAACAATCGTGTGTGTGTGTGTGTGTGTGTAGGAGGGGGGGTTCAACCTTGACCTATAAGTTCAGTGTGACTCCGTCTTAAAGGAGAAGTTCAACTCCCTTAAACTGGATGAGTTTTATGCTTCACGAAGCGAAGCCAAGTTTCCAAACATCAGGAGGATGGCACAGAGGATGCTGGTGTTGTTTGGCTCTACCTACGTGTGTGAAAAGACGTTCAGCGTGTTGAACATCAACAAATCAGGCCACAGATCCCAGTTAACTGATGAACACCTCAGATCTGTCCTGACAATTGCCACAACCAAACTGACACCAAACTTTGATGCACTGGCAAAAAAAGGTGACCAACAACACTGTTCCCACTGAAATGAAATGCAAGTTTTCTTACTTTTCAGGTCATGGCTTTTACTTGTAATTTACATTAGTTCACACAAACACTCTCCATCCATCTGCTACTGGCCCGGCCCGTCTGTCAAATTTTAAAACTCATTGTGGCCCCTGAGCCAAAAAGTTTGCCCACCCCTGACCTAGCGAATGTTTAGCACAAAAAGTCATTTTTGAATTGGAAAAATTCAATTAAGTTGTGCTGACTAAAAATGTAACTCATTTGGTTGGACTGAAATTTGATTTTGAAAAATTCAACACAAAACATTCATCTATAATTACTGCATTTGGAATATTGTCCGTCAAAACATTACATCTGTATTTCACACACACACGTAGGTGCAGAGTTGAGTACGAGATACAAAGACTGACATTTTCTAATCTAAATGCTACTGCACACAAATATTTTGACACACAATACATGGGTGTGGTGTAGTTGAATGTGCTAAGTTTTAAGTAATTCATTATAAAATAATTTATCCAGACTATTGTTACACAATGTATGGCGAAAATGAGCCAGGCTCATGGTTTTTAATCATAATTACAATGCCATAAAAAAAAAAGCACAGCAGACTATATGATTACACACATAATTGCATTTTATTGAGAGTATACGGTATATTAGTCATCGCACCTTACATACACTTTCTACAACACAATTGTATAATAAAAGGGACAGCAAAATTGCACATTCATGCTTTGAAGCAAACATGTTTTTATTTAATCTTTATTTTTGAATTAATTGAAGAAACATTTATCATTTCTCCACCAGTTTCCACTGGGTACATTAACGTCAGTACCCACACCCTGGATGAAGCACTCCATTAATTTGGTTTGTATCTCAGTGACGGCGGCATCATTTCGTTCACACTTCAGTAATCCAACCGTCTCATGGTAGAAGACGTTGACATGCAACACAACTCTAGCGTCATCACGCCACGTTCTCATAGATGTGGGCCTGACCTCGTGTGTGTGGTGCATCAACACCAGAATGACAGGTTTATCATCTGAGGACACCAAAAGAGAGAATGAGAGTTACCAAAAGATTCTCTGTTGTCCAACACATCAATATGTTGATGACTAAACTTTGATTATCTAAATCCAATGCAATATTCCATTTCAACATGAACGGGCTGAAAAACTCCTTCCCTTACCTGTAACATTACTCATGGCTGCCTCAACATCTGACGCAATGCGTGAACTGATCGGACAGAAGACAAAAGTGATCTGGTTATCCCGATTGCCTTCACAATGCCGGAGCTGATTCTGAAGTCGTTTCGTCACTGTCTCCATCAGCTTCAGGTGGGTATCGAAGGTTTTACCGCCGACGACCATCTTGTACAGCATGGCTACAGAAAGAAAAATGGTTGTGCATGCGACACAGATTTAGACATTTGAAAGAACAGTGGAATAGAATTGTTCTTACAGCAGCGTATGTTTATCAAAAGTCCCAAAAACTTAGAATTAGATTTCAATCAGCTGTTGTGCAAAGGTCCAAAGTCAGATATTATTCCCCAGCACAAGGTGTGCTTTGTGTATGATTCAATTCACTGGATTAAAAGGTATTACAGTATCATAAGGCTAATAATGTATTTTAAAATCTGAACAAACATGAGAATGAGATTCATGAGAGAATCGTATACGTCATGAAAGTGTGAAGAGGATGAAAGATGTACTTTGTGTTCCTTGTGGAGGATGGCCACCAGTGAGGCCAGTAGAGAGCCCCACTGGATCACCCATGTCTGAGGTACCTGAACCTAGCAAAGAGTCTGTAACATGAAATGTACTTACTGACTCCAAAATGTATTGTAAATAATCTACAAATTCAACCCGTCAAGAGACCATCATGTTGAGTTGTAATGGAACTTCAAACTGGATGCTACTCATTAAACGAGAGAGAGAGAGAGCGAGAGAGCTTCACCTGTTGCTCCTCGTGCACGACCATCATTTTTGTGACTGGGGGTCTTCACTGGACCACTGGTGACTGAAGGACTTGGACCTGACGAAGACTCTGTTAGTGTACAACCTAATGCAATTACTTACTCAAAAAAATGAAATAAACCATACTAACTTAACACCTATATGTAAAAATATTTAGAGGCCAAAGTATTTTTGGTATTTCAGTGAAAAATGGTTCCAAGAGTATTAATTAAACACTGGGAACATCGACTAAATGGAAGTTTGAATCACTGAATTCTTATTTTTCTTTTCGTGGCCAAAACTAATTCAAAAGTAAATATCACATTTGGTGTCTGAATAATACAGGGTTAAAATTAAAAACAATTATTAAAAGAAAGAAGAAAAAAAAAAAAAAAGTACAAGAGGTGATTCCCCAACACTACACTAGTAGGTACACTATATTTAGCAAAAGTCTCAAAACCTTGGAAATGTATTTCAAGGAGCTGTTGTGCAAAGGTCCAAAGTCAGATATTATTCCCTAATACACAACTTAACCCCACTGTGGGCTTTGTGTATGAAACAGTTCACTGGATTAAAAGGTATTTCCTTATCAAAAGGATGATTATGTATTTTAAAATGTGTTGATAGAAGACCCAGCAGACATAGAAGACATTTGAAGCTCAATTATTTTCAGTCACACAATCTCAGTACTCAACCAAGAGAGAGAAAAAGAAAGAGAGAGAGAGAGATTCACCTGGTGCTCGGTCATCACTTTTGCCACTGTGGGGCTCCACTGAACAATCGGTGACTGACGAAGACTCTGTTAGGGTACAAACTAAAGCAATTACTTACTCATAAAAATAAAATGTGTGTTCTGGTCGATGGCCAACAGTGGTGCCAATTTTATGCAATTTTTTCTGGCTGACTTTTGCTGAATTCTTCCATAAGGCTGATGTGAGCGTCAAGGAAACCCTGAACGTTATCCATTTGGGTCTTCATGTCCTTCAGGATTCGGAGGTAATCAACCAAGACCCCATTGTCAGTCAGAGCAGCTGGAGAGAGAGAATCAGGTTGTGAGTGTTAGAATCTGGATGACAATATAATAGGGTGACCGTATATTCAAACCAGGCGGCCACCTCTGGTTCTGCCGAGCGAAGTCGATGCGGCAGTGTCTTAAAACCTGCATTCTCTCTACTGACCAGCAGGGGGCGACTCCTCCGGATGCAAAAAGAAGCCTGATTGTATGGAAGTCAATGAGAAAATGACCCTACTTTTCACTTGATTTATTCCCTCAGTAAATATTGAGTGAAACATGAGTTTATGGTGATTGAACATGATACATGATAAAGTATAATCTTTATTAATGTTATTCTAATTGGGGTGAAAAATGGCACAATTTGGAAGAACAATCCCGGACAAATCGGGACATTTGGTCCCTGTACAATATTAGCAAGGTTACATGTAATGCCTCCACTCTCATGGTCCAAACAAACAGAAAATCTGTCAAATGTGAAAGTGAAAGCAACTGCTAGCAAGGCTGTACATACCCCTGAAAGATTCAATTGGGATGAACCCCTTCAGTTTGTTTAGGACCAGTTCAACCTCCCGCTGAAACAAAAATATAATATTACAACTTTTTTTTACAAATCCTCGTGACTAGTTTCTATCCATGTTATTTATCTTTATTTAATTCCCTCTCTAGTCACACTTGTTAGCTCACCGGTTTGTGGATTACATGAAAGATGGTCCTTCTCAGTTTTAAATCCATAACTGCAGGAAACAGCTGAAGAAGTTCTTCTGGAGTCAGCACCTCGATGTCTGAGTCGGTGTACAAACCTGCCACTGCAAAAACAAGGTGAGGAGTTGGGCAAGTGCTGGAAAACACTTCGCAGGGTTCCCACTCTTTTTCTATGGATCATTGTCCAGGACATGTTCAGTGCTGAAGAACAGCACAACATAAGTAGATAGATAGACTAAAGTTCATTCTCAGCTCAATGAAAATAGGAGAATGTTCAAAGAACTGGGAACCCTGATTTTGGTTTGAATTCAGTTTACCTCATTTTTGAAAGATGTTTTTATGTTTCCAGCACCAATAGGCCCTTTTCACAGTTATTTACATATTATTATTAACATTTATTATGGTCCTGTTCCATTTAGGTGGGCCAGGGCCCTGGTATTGTACATGCTGGGTCACTGTTGCAACTGTGGGTACTTCTCAAGTCGCTTAATTGCATCCCCGTTTCCCTCACTCGCGTCCTTTCCTTGCGTCTTAGTCCCTCCCACCAGGGATGCATGGAGGAAACCATGCGAGGAGAGGAAACAAGGAAATATGTTCTAAGAGACATGAGACGTCCTTTCCTCAGTTGCGTCACGTGAAGCTGCGTCTGTTTCTGATGACGGAGGATCAGCTGATCACAGCTGGATCAGCTGTTAATCGGCTTTAACAGCTGGAGAGACTTTTGAGAAGTTTGTGTCTGTTCACATGATCACTGTACTTAATAATAGTAATTAATAATACTAATAGCTAATAAAGACACACAGTTATCATCACTGTAGAGGTGTTTTCTCTCTGTAGCCTGTTAACAAACTGTGTCCAGTTTATAAGCGCAGGATCGGCGGAATGCGATCGTCTTATTTATGAATTATTTGCGTCGGTACGTTTTGAAATTCAGATTGTGACGTCATTATTAAATAACCCAGAATGATTATGGTTGCTCTTAAATTATATAACTCATCAAACCAGACGCTCAGGAATGATCCGCCTCACGTGACTGAATGAAATGATGATGAATGATGTAAAAAGTGTTTAGTCTCTCTCTCTCTCTCTCCAGAGAAAGAGAAAGAGAGAGAGAATCATCTCTTCAGCTCTCTCTGACTTTAATTGTTTCCATAATAAAAGTTATTGAGGGAAATGTCGGATCATGAAAACACAAATTTTTCTAATAAATGAAGAAAGTTGTTTGTGGTCCTTTTGTTGTTCAGTCTACAATGCACATTTATTTAAACTAGACGGTGAATCAGAAAACTTATCAAATCTAAAGCTCGAGTTTAATCTGAGATCAGTCTTCAATGTTTACATGTTTGAAAAACAGGCCGTAAACACTTCCTGGAAGGCTGTTCTCATGGCTCCTCGGAGATCCCTCCTCTCTCCTCTCTCCTCTCTCCTCCCTGCTAAATAACAGCTTTGGGACGGGCGTCAATATGGCAATTAAGAGACTTGAGAAGTACCCTGTGACCCACTAAATATATTTAAATAAATCAACCTCTATTTAAAAAATAAAACGGTCTCTTACGTTTCAACACATCAGCTGCTCTTTCGTCGATGTGCTGTATTTTCTTCAGTAAAAGCGACATGACTTCACCTGTAGTGTAGGAAAAGCAGAAAAAAAGGCACATTCATCAGATTGTAGTTCACTTTCTATACTGCACTGCATCGCTTCTGTCTTTTCTGGTGTTGGTCTGACATGTTTTGTGAAAGATTGGGACACAAACCTGCTGTTGTCGACGAACTAAACCGAAAGAACGAGAGAGACCTTTAAACTGATCGGATCACACGATAGATGATTGACTTCGATAATTAACCAAATTCAACCGTCAGGAGTTAGCTGTCAGTCACGTAACTAAATAAAAAACAAGTCTATGTAGTACACTGCGCCAAGGTCGTCCTCACAGTCCCCGTCTACAGTGAAGAGAAAGAAAGTGAAAGTTAAAGGTATATTTATTCGTCTTCTTCTTCTTTGTTTTTGAATGGGCGCTTTCAAAATGTCGCTTTACCGCCAGCTACTGGATTAAAACTGAAATCTCCACTCACTAAGTTAAATAATTCACAGCATGTTCATGTATGCAGCAAAGCCAGCAGGGAGCAGCACTCTGCAGCTTTTATTACCACTCTGCACAATCTTAACCTCCTCAGATAATTCAGTCATTTGCTCTTCAGATACATTTAATTTCGTTTTCTGGACGTTTTGTAAACTGATCCTCAATGTTGTGTGTATCAATATGATGGATGACATTGGACACCAACAATCCTCAGTTAAAAAAAAAAAGAAGCTGTAGAGTTTATGAATATTTTGGGGGCATTTTCACATCGGCTCATTAAACTCTCTGCTGCTTTTAAAGGGTTAAAGAGGATGAGAGGATGGGATTTATTCAACAGATTTATTCAACCACAATCCTGGCTTCTGTTCATTGGCTCTCTGTTTGTTTTAGAATTGATTTGACTTTTAAAGCAGGTATGGGTCTGGCCCCAAAATACATAGAATAAATCTTGACCCCTTGTCAGCCAGCTCGCAGCCTTAGATCCTCAGGTGGGGCCCTTCTGGCTGTTCCAAAGCCGAGGCTGAACATTGAAGGTGACCGTGCTTTTGCCTTCAGGGCCCCTCGGCTTTGGAACGAGCTGCCTGAGGAGATGAGGCTCGCAGAATCAGTAAACTCTTTTAAATCACTTCTCAAAACTCATTTTTACAGACCGGCTTTTACGTGATGTCGTCGCTTTACTGCTTTATTTTTATTGTTGATTTTACTAAATTATTCTATTTGATTTATTTCTTCGTTTATTTTTAGCATATCGATTTTTTTTCTTTTCATCTATTGTACTGTTTTATCCGGGTTTAACTCTTACCTTAGCTGTCGTGCTGTGTTGGGCCTCACTGTTGAGCTCTCTGTTGTTATTATTGTCTTGCTTTTGCTGCTTTGTCTGTCAAAGCACTGTTTTTAAAGCTGCTATATATATAAAGTTGTTATAATTATTGCTGAAGCTCACTCCAACTGCTGTTATGGGCAATATGATTATGATTTAAATAAAAACAACACAATTCTAAAGTCAGCACAGATTAAATTGTCTCTCTACCTACCTAACCGCTGTCTGACTATCTACCTACCTACCTACCTAACTATCCACTTACCTACCTACCTTCCTATCTATCGATCGATCTATCTAACTTGGAAAAATAAAGGTGAAATAAATAAAAAATAAAGTCTGTTGTTGCTTGTTTGCAGGTTTGGACAGCTACGTTCCCACCAGAAGCCTTGAGCCTCTCAGAGGGAGTGACACTAACAACATGGTAGTTCAGTGTTGTGGCCTCAGACAAGCTCTCTTTTTATAGTGTAGAAAGCTGAAAAATAACGAAAAGCAAAGAGACAGAACCCGATGTGTGTGTTTGTCTGTTGTGTCCAATGTCATTCACCAGTTTGTCTGCAGGTGTTGGAAGCTGAGTTTCGGAGCAGACACCGCTGGCAGACACTGGCAGTAGGTGAAGTGTTCTCGCCCCCCCCCCCCCCTTTTTGCAGAGGGGCGAGACGGCTCCTGGTGGCTCTGCTTAGTCTCCTTCATGTGTGACAGTGGAATAAAAGACAGTTTTGTGCGGATCTCACTGTGTAGCATAGCGCTCTCCGTGTAATGACATGATAGTCAGTTGGAGAAAGTGAAAGCTTGACTACAGATGGTTTTGATATGAGGTTCAGGGGCATCTTTGAACAGAATATAAACTTGAGCCGTGTCAATAGAACGGTTAAAGGTTTAGCTGCAATATGTGACATACATATAATAATAATACAAGTGTTGTGACATATTCACTCTTTTCGGCTTTAATAAATGAAGAAATAAAAAGTTGCATAACCATCTGTTGGTTCAGGGGCGTTCATGTTACAAGCAGTAGCTAAAAGATGGTAATCAGATATCAGAAGTCCATCTGTGTGGTTCAGAAAATGAAAGAATCTTAATAGAGAAGTTTCAGGGCATGATCTGGCCTGCAGCCAGATTTTCAGATCAAGCAGTGCATCCGCAGACTTAAGGACGGAGCCAACAGTTAACACAAGCAGATGTCTCTGTCCTACTTTCTGATCTCATTTATGACTATCAAGATTATATCAAACATGTTTCATTCTGAGTAAGAGGCTAAGGATTTATTTATGGTGCATTTGTCCTTCACAATAAAAGCATCCACAATAAAATATCAGGATAGTTCATGCGAGTAACACAATTAGACAAAAGAGAGATGACATCAAACGAAAAGAGCAAAGACTGAATCTTGTCAGATTTTTTTTTTAAATGAATTTGAATAAGATGATCTAATAGTGAGATAAACCCAAATTACAAATTGCTTCACACGAGTCAACGACTTACAATCAACAAATGATAAAATCATGGGAGAAAACAGACGAAACCAAATCCAATATTGCAATTTAAAAGAAATTGGGTCAAATAAAAACAAACTGAAAGTCATTCAGGTTTTAGATATATTTAGAGAACCCCCCCGCAGGATTACAGTCTGTGTGCTTTGGCACACCTTTGTGCCACAAAGCCACACTGAACTGAGATCTTAAAGGCAGAGGTAGTAATCGTGATAACTTAGCAAGAGAACACTAGATCTTAAAAAATGATCCAACTGGAAAACCCAGCCCAGTGTTGTCAACTATTTTCCAATGAAAGTTGCTAGCAGCATTAGCTCCAAGAGTTGCTAAATCTAGCAAGAAAGTCAGCAACACTGACAGCCAGTCTCGTCAGGCCTCCCTCCAAAGCCACTCCCCCAAATTATTATTAACGAGCACGCAGGCAGGTAGGTAGACAGGCAGGTAGCCCGTCCAATCATTACATCCGGGCCGATTAAAATCATTGGATGGGCTTATTACAGTACTGCCACAGCCACAGATACCAGATTTTGAAATCTTTCTTGGATGATAAAAACCCGATGGAACAAGCTTTGTGGTACGCTGCTCAAAATAATCAGACAAAACAAGTTGTGGACCAAAGACAGCAATTTTAGAATTAGGGCACAGCAATTAGTAAATGTACTCAGGGGCTTCACCGTTGAGTTCCTGATTACCTGTCAAGACTTTTATTCGGTCAAATCCTCCACGACTCCTGTGATGGGACATAAACAGCGACACACTAGTGACAGCAGATCCACTGGCAAATCCGTCTTCTATTTAAATCGCTCTTTTATTTGTTCAGTTAATATCATGTCCTCCGCCTGCTCCGTCTTCTATTCTACTACGCAGAGTTGATTGTGAATGCTGCAACACAAAGTAAACACAAAGCAAATTGACACCGGCAGAAGTGTTTGGGGATGAGCTTAGAATTCGACAGTGTGATCAGAGACATCAGACTGCTGTTTAGTTTGGATTGAGTCATGATAACAAGATTATGTTTTACATTGTGAAGTCCGCCGTGTGCACTTCAGTTGCTTTACACAACAGCAGGGAGGTGGAAACAGCAGCATAGAGGCAAATAACGCAACAGGTGTGGGCGGTTGTCTGTGGCAGTCGCTGATAGAGTCGTTTGGCAACACCACCTGAGATGACAAAGTGGAGGAGACAAATGTTTATCTAATAATATTCATTCAGGGAGGTGGAATCGAGGTGCAAGAAAGCAAAACAACAAGAACTCAAGGGATAGAAGATAAAATGCAATATTAAGTCATACCATACCAGCTGAGGAATTCCCTTTTATTGTCATTTATTTCAAAAAAATCCATATTATTTGGTAAAAAAAAAAAAGACTGTCACAGCCAATGAAATCCAAAAGGGAATCAAAAATGTGTCTTATGAATAACTTTGCCACTCTCTACTGTTATGCAAATTAGGGATTATATTGCAATTTCACCCCACAGCTGGCAAAAAAGACAAAATACTATCTAGCAACAGTGACAGCAAACAATGCATCTCGCTGTGTGCGCATAATCGAAAGAGCCGATGTTAACCTTTGGATGTTTTACTCAAGGAATAGAAAGCTAAAGTCAAGTGAAGAAGAAGAAGAAGAAGACGACTCATGCATTCGGATCCTTTGATATGAACCACAGCGAGATAAGGAAAGATGAGAAGCGGTGATGCAACTCACGCTCCCTCACACCAGCAGTCACATCTTTCCCTCTTAACACGCTCAATTATTGCAAAATGTGATTTTCTCTCATCGAGGCACAAGCAACATGTTAGATTAAAAGTCAGGGCTTTGTAGACTCAAATTCAAACACACACTCTTGCTCACAGTCACAGACATTGCCCTCAGTTATTATGCATTCATAAATCAAAAGGTTGTGACGGGAATTAATCTAAAACGATGGTGAGTGTAAGTCACCGGATGCAAATATGACAGCTTTATTAGAAAACTAGATTGCTTGAATTTGTCTGAATTAATGTGACACTTTTTTGATTAAATAGCAGCCCCCTCCCCTTCGCTTTACTGAGTCGAGGCTGAACGAGGAGGTGGATTAGGCAACAGCAGAGAAACACTGGTGGCTCATTGTCACTCTGTTTTCCTTTTTTCCTGTTGTCATCTGTTCACATGGCGATACACAACACAGTAATACTTTTTAATTATGTTAAATTATTCATTCTGTCTCTGATCCAAATGAACTGAGGAATTTGTTGAGCGTGATTCGAGCTAAACGCTAACATCACTAATCAGAGGATCACTTAAAGATTCCTAGCATGAGTTCTCATGAGATAAAAGATGTGCAACGTAAACTTTTCAATAAATCATGGTGTTGAAATTTCACAATAAAAGCCTGCTGACAGTTCTATATGAACTGCATCAAGCTGTAGCTCTGCCTGCAGTATTAATCATACTTCTTCTCTCTTCTGTCTCAACCTAGCTGGCTCTTTCTCATGCTTTTCCTCATTCCCTCTGATGTTATGTTATACGGCCTAATTGGTGTGCCTAGGGGTACACAGGATGTAACACTTGCTCATCTTGCAGCATGCGTTCACCTGCTTCTCTTTTTTT